TGCCCGGAGTTAGCTCTTAAGGTAAATGTAAACTGCATTAATGAGTTGGGAATTTCTAAACAGATCTTTCTTATCTTTTATAAAGGATCTTTCAAGAGAACAAATGTGTGAATTGTGGGGGAGAGTTGTATGAATCTTGGGTAAAATATAGATAAAAAGACCCTTAACCTGGAGAGACATATACAGTTTCAACTAGCTAGATGCAGCATGTTGCAGCTGTGTAACTGCTGACTCCCATGCAGTTAAATGAAAGTAAACAATATACAATTGTTTCTATTTAACTTTTACAGTTGTTTTAATACATGTAGGTCTTAGCTAAGGCTGATTGTTTCCAGACTGGGAAAAATGTCAGCTGTGTGTGTTAGCACACAGAAATGTTGATTCCAGGATAGACACTGGACACTTTCACACTCTGTCATGGAGCACCTTCATGCAATACAACTCAGATGGTCTCCAACATGGTATCAGAGTTCCTTGAATGAGAACCCTTTCAGGATATAACACAGGCACTGTCATCCTCACCTCAACTTATCTTCACTATGATGCAGAGAAAGACTTTGCGATATGTAACACTAAATGTGACTAGATCCCCATTAAATCCTTCTATATTCACCTGTCTCTTCCATACAGTTTTAATCTGCTGGTTCCTTCTCTCCTGTCCTGTCTCTTTTTTTCTCCATCCAGCTGCTCATTAAAACAGCTGCATTGCTATGATATATGGCTTTGCATCCCTAATTTAAAACATGTTTTTCTTAGTAGATTATTCTTGTGGCAGTGAATAATGTTCTTGTACAAATCATTTATTATTGTGTGATCTTTACCTTGCACAACACTTGCACTGAATTGTTCCTACTTTCTGGCAGACTATTTAAACAAACCAATTGCATCCAGCAACAACCACCATGCCTTCACTCTACTTGTCCAGTACTAATTCCCAGCATGCATACTGCAGAGCCAAACTGTATTGTTGTGCTTCTATTTTTGATTGCCTCATAAATTTAATATGATTATGACAAATATTTTAGGCTCTCATCTTTGCTGTTTTGATTGATGAACTGCAGGATGGTTTCTTCTGTCAGCTGTTTGTTGATGTATGTTTTGTCTATCGATTTCCCTGTCTGTCTCCTTCATTAATTACACTATATCTATTAGCCAACCCATTTATCTACAAACCTTTTCATCTTTTAAACATACCATGCTCTTAGACAACATAACACCTTTTTATTTCAAGATGGTACCAGAACATTGCAACTGCTTTTTTAAATGCTAAGGGAAATTGGATTATCCATTGGCTTCCACCTTTGTACTTTACTAACTAATTGTGTCACTCAGGAGTCTTAAATAGCTTACATTTAGTGAACGTGCCCTTTTATTATTTTCCAGACCCTTTAAGTGCAGCCTGCTGTGTTAAATACTTACATTAATACTGTACAGCCCTGTCAGCTACAACACAGCCTTTCTTCTGAAAACATTCCCACTTGCTTCTCTTCTTAGCGTGTACTTGTTGCATCTCCATTCATTCCTGTGGGAGAGGCATAACAGGCTGTACTCAGGAAAAACTACCTTGCCCTTTAAAAGAAACCCTAATTTTTAACTCCAGAGCTCCATAAAAAAAGAGCAAACAAAAACCTAGAGGCTCCTTTTTATCCGCATGAGTTAACATGATACTAAAAAATATAATAAAATGTTAAGAATGAGCTTCTAACATTGACCTTTTCCTGACATTAGGTGTGGTCTCCAATTGAAGAAAAATATATGGTACCTTTTTTAATGACATTTTTATAACATGAGAACCACCTGTTGTTATCTTAAAGTTGCCATACCCTTGTGTATTTGTAAATGTATGCATTTATTATCATTCTTCATATATACTGAATAGCATCAATGATTAAGCATATCAATCAGTACCTGCCCTCTAGGAATGACATTTTAAGTAGAATCCAAACATCCTGGCAATTGGTTTTTTAAATTTTGTGGAAAACTTAGCAAACATAGGAACCATCTTTAGGTCTAGGGTGGAGGATTCCAGCCCTGCAAGGTAAAAGTGCTAACATTTGAACACAAAACACTTCATATTCTTATCTGAAAAGTATGAGAAGAAATTAAAGTAAAATTGAGAATTAATATGCAGAACTATCATCCGGTTAATCTGCTTTGTGTTCATAGCTTAGTTACGGCCATGTCACAGTTCTACTGCTGTAGTTGACTCTAATTTGCTTTACCAATATCTTGGTAACAATTTGTAGATTTGTGGACTGATTTTCACCTACAGGAAAGATGACTTGGAGTCCATGATGAAGACATAATTATGATGGCATAAGATGATGTTAGGTGTTTCTTATGGCAATTTCTAATAGTGGTGTAAATATCACGCAACCATTGTTTTAAAATTACAGGAAACACCCTGACTTATCTAAATATAAGTCCAGTGATCAGGTGTGTTTTTAAAGCTAGCTCAATTAGATTTTTTTTTTTTTAATTTTGACTTTTAGTGCTGCAAAGTGAAATTAGAAAATAACTTTCTCAATATTTTTGCAAACAATAAAACGCCCTTATTTGGCTGCGAAATCAAGACGAAAATTTGCACTCACCCTAACAGCTAAAAATCTCAGGTTGTCCATTACCAGCTGGTTATGATAACATGAGCAGATATTGAACCTGAAGTTTATGCACATATCCTCAAATGCTATAAAAAGTCTGTCAATCAGCTACTAAGCTACAAATCACTTGGAAATTCTAAGATATGAACCTTTCATTGACTGCAATGTATTTGTTACTAGCAAAATAAAAAAACACACACACAAGAGGAAAGCGATTCCATACTTGCTAAAAAAATTCTGTTTCAAAATCGTTAGTGTGACATGGCTCTTAAGCTCCACCAGTCAAGAATTTTCAGAGAAAGATGAATTGACTACATATTGTAAGGGTCATGTCACACCAGCAACTTTGTAGCACAGATTTTGTAACAGCTACAAAATGCTTCTCTACTTTAGTGATTGGTAGCTTTTACAGAGTTGTTGTTGTTGTAGCTAACTGTCGTGGTTCTCTAGGCAGCTACAAATTGCTCATGTGCTATGGCCAGGGTCATCAGCAGCTGCATTGAGTAACAAGAGTAACTACTGCAACTGGTGATTTTGTAGCTAGCTCTAAAACCTACAAAAAGTCAATAGTGCTCAGTTACAATTTACTTGAAAGTTCTGTAGCATAGACCTTTAATTAACTACAACTAATATTTTCCTAGTAACAAAAACACTAAAGAGAGCAATGCTGTAGCTGCTATAAATTACTGAGACAAATTACTGGAGTGACAAAGAGTCTAAGACTTCAAAGGTTAAACCCTTCCCTCTTTAAAAACAGCTTGCAGATGATTATTTTTATTATCATGCAGGATTTATTTAGTGCCAACAGTTTGCACAGCACTCTACAACATACGAGGAGACAGTACACTTACAAAACAATACCATACAAAGGATTAGAAGGACCCTGCTTGTGAGAGCTTACAATCCAAAAGAGGGGGTTATGTGATACAGAAGGTAATGACTGAGAGGGATTAGCTGACTGAAGAAATAGATGTACAGTTTTTAAGAGGAGGGGGAATAGACTTCCCTGAAGAGATGCGTTTTCAGGGATCGCCTAAAGGCAGACACAGTAGGAGATATATGGATAGGTTGTGGTAGGGAGTTCCATAGGATGGGAGAGTTTCTGGAGAAGTCCTGCAGGTGACCAAGGGAGTAGGTGATGAGGGACCTAGACAGCAGAAGGTCTTGGGAGGAGCAGAGAGGACGGTTTGGGTGATATCTTGAGATGTGGCTGGAGATGTAGACAGAGGCAGAGTTATGGATTTACTTACAGAGATCTATAAGTGGGCCAGGTTAAAGACTTAAAAAGTGAGGAAATCTTCTTTTTATTTATTTTTTACCACGCAAGGCTCTACACGTGCTTTGTGATAGATATAGTTCTGTGAAAGAATAACAACCTTTGTATGTTTTCAATGGAACTGTGATTGTGTTATTTCTGTTTGTTATGGTTTTTTTTTTCTGTGATGCTAAATGTTCTCTTCTTAGTCTTCTGCTTTTTGTATAAACATAAATATGAAAAGAAAAAAAATGTACTTGGCATGCATTTAGTGGATCATTACGCAATCTTCCTACAATTTTACTTTGTTGGCTTCTTAAAGGACAAGGAATCTGAAATGGAACAAGTTGTGAGTGACAAAGGCAATTTATCCAGCGCATACGCACATTACATTCCACTCACTGAGGGAATTATGGAGGATTGTTATGAAAGGGATCAGCAAAGAACATCTGGAAATACATTTTCAACTGTGACTCGTTTGGCACAAAGAAAGCAAAGTAGAAGTTCCAGCCCAAGATCTATCCTGGAGGAGGAAAATATAAACAAGCAAGAACAGTTGGTTAAGGAGCATTACCAGCTCAAAAACCAACCAGCTTCATGCTCGAGTATGACTTGTGGAAGACCAAGCTCTCCAAGTAAATGTGTCAAATCCTGCAAACCTAAATTGAGCGATGGTGTTGATGAATCTGAAAGTCATATGGTGGTAAAACAACTTTTGGAACAACACAAAGGCAACATACCTTTTCATGACCCTCTTGTTTACATGGCTGTAGCAGGAAAGACAAAATCAGTTCCTAATTACAGAGTTTTGGCTTTCCCAGACTTCTGGGGCCATTCTTCTCCACTATTCTCCCAAAAACTTGAAGAAAAGAAGTTTGGCTCACAGAGGTGATTTTACTCAATTAAATCTTATATCCATTAATTTGATTATGTCTCACATAAGACCTCAAATCTTGTTGCATTACAGTGGTATGTTAACTACCCATACATTTAAATTAAATTGTTATAAGTTAGGAAAACTTTAAGAGCAGTGGTGTGACATTGTAAAGGCATCAGACTTCAGGGTAAATCCCTTGGATTTGCACTGTCTAGAAGATAGGCATGTTTGGTAACAATAAGATCTTTTCAAACTGTTTGATTATTCCAGATGAAATGTGCATAAACCCTTGTGTATGGCCCTCTTTTGAGGTATTAAAATGCTTACTAACATACATAGCATTATTAAATCAGCAAGAGATGCAAAGGCTGCTATTGTTGACATTTCCTTCTAAAAATAAAAGGGTTTGAAGCTAATAGACCAGCATGACAGTATTTTTAGAAGGAAATAAATAATATTAGACTAGTTATTTATTTTCACAAATTATGTATTATATTATTTTATAAAAGAAAGGGTGAGAAATTCTTGACACGAGGGGTAATGCTTCAGAAACTAGCCAGCACATGGAATCTATGTTTACAAATAGTTTCAATGTTTTAAAGTTACCAGAAAGCAAACTTTTATTTAGATAAAAATTAATTACATAATGACAGTACTAATGAGGGAAGTGATATATTTGAATGTGATTAGCAGTTAAGCGCTGCTACTATAATAGGCTTTCCAAGTACAGATTACAATGGAGGCTTTGTTTGACAGCAGGTATTGTTTAACGCAGCACTTGCAATAAGCATGTAAACATTCAGAACACTGATGCCCTTTTTCCTAGCATCCATTTTCTATTATATTTATTAAAGTGACATTAACCACTTGAAGTCCGGGGTGTTAAACCCCCTTCCTGGCCAGGCCATTTTTTAGTGTTCAGCACTGCAGTACTTTGACTGACATTTATTCCGTCATGCAACACTGTACTGAAATGAATTGATACCATATTTTGGGGACACATAGAGCTTTCTTTTTGTGGTATTTAATCACCACTGGGGTTTTTACTTTTTACTATGGTAAGGAAAAATTACCAAAAATGTAAAAAAAAAACCTGTTTCCCTATATTAAATTATAAAACATTTATTATTACCCAATTTTTTGGTAAAATATAAAAGACGGGGTCACGTTGGGTAAAAAGACACCAAACATGCCAAGCCTTAAAATTGTGCGCGCATGCGAAACCTCAAAAAACGACAATACCGAAAATTGGCCATAGGCGACACTTTAAAACCTTTTACCGCTCATAAGTTTAGTGTTATCAGTGATTGATGGCCCTAAAATTATTGCTTTCACTCCGATTCGTAACAGGTGTAGCGCAATTGTTGTTTTCGCGTGCTGGCGCATCTGACGCGTATTTACGTTTATGGTAACCAAAATAGTTGCGCTAGGATATATGGCAAAAATAAAAATTAATTAAATTAAGACTAAAAAACCCAACATACAAAGAAAATAACAATTTAGAATATAAATATAAAAATAAAATATAGCCAAGAGATCCAGCTGCAGCAATATCTATCAAAGCGATCAATTATAAACCGGTGTGCTGCGCTTGGTTTTGTGATGCGTGCTATGTTTAATCCTTAAATTATGTGATGCTTGTGATAACACAAACTGAAAGCAGTACAAGTGATCGACTCCTACTTGCAACTGTATGCAATCCAAAAGTGCGTGTGTGCATATATATTAATAATAAATATACGTGTCATATAAATACAAATATAAATACTAGATAGTTAGTTGTGAACCAAATATGTAAATAAATTAGTCATATATGTGCCATAAAGTGAAAGTACAGTTGTGAATAATAAATTAATTGTAAAGATGGGTCACTCTAACACTCACAATATTGGGCTAGAAAACAGTAATTTAAAAAATCTAGCAAGTTTTAAAATAAAACCACATCTATTGGTATAAGGTGAATAAATACAGGTGAAGAAATATATAGATAGAAAAAATGTAAAAGTGTGTACACGAGGGTTGTAACACCAATATTAAAATTTCTACCAAATGGTATTAAAAGTCCAATGTCTTTTGTTAATAATTCTATTGATACGTCCGCAAATTAGAAAAAAGGAAAAAGAGGAGAAAACCTTCTCTGTTATTGTCTCTGTCCTCTCCTGCCGTCAGGCTACCCTTCCTCTCGTCGGCGATAGTTAGACGACCTCCAAGGTTGGAGAGCACTCCGGAGGGATCAGCCAGAAAGCCGAGGGGGGGACCGACTTCTCTATAAGTTTCTCTGTCCTCTCCTGCCGTCAAGCTATACTTCCTCTCATCGGCGATAATTAGACAACCTCCAAGGCTGGAGAGCACTCCGGAGGGATCAGCCAGAAAATCAAGTGGGGGACCGACCAAAAGAGAGAAAACAGGATCTAAGTGCAGATGCAAATTGCTTTATTTGCCAAGTGGTTAAAAATGATTGTACTTACAGACTTCCATAGGTACAACAACATAAGCAACTTATATATAACTCTCTCCAGGGTGGCAGCGGGGAAACAGCACACTTTATGTATGCGTAAACGTGGGGGACTTACATTTTTTCTTTTTTCTTACTTTTTTTATATGTGACTTTTATTTATTTTTATTTCTTACACTTAATATTATTGCTATCACATGGGGGATAACAATCCCCCTATATAATAGCACAGGCACACTGGCAGGTCCTCTTCAAGGAGACATTTATGGAGACCCCTAATGTCACCTGGGGACCCCCAAAGAAGCTGATGAAGCAGATATCTGCTTCATCAGCTTCTTCTCTGGCTATAGCAGCCAGAGGAATGGCAGCTGAATGCGGAAGTAATGTTTTACACATCACTTCTGCATTCAGACGTCGGAGCGATATCAGCAAGAAGGAAGATGCTGATCTCCCTCCCATCTTACCTCCTGACACCCTCCCGAGCCGGTCCCAGGCTGCAGATGGGGCAGCGGATCCCGGGATTGAAGGTGAGGGTGCAGTTAATGCAAAATTACTTAGTTCAGGCAGATACACAAGCAACTACTGGGAGTGCAGGCCAGCTTATTATGATAATCCCATTATTATATTGATTGGTTCTATACACCGATTACAATGATTATATTTTCATGGATCCAAAATAGTGCATATTGTTTTGGGAAAGATATGGCCCTTGTTCAGGTGCTCACCATGGGCACCTTGTGAGCTACTGCATATCATTGAAACTATTGTTTAAGCACGATGCACACTGGACCCTTTTCAGGCAGACACATTCAATTCACACAGTATTTATTACACCCAACAGTAAAATTAAAAGAAAGAAGGTAAAAACTAATTATAATTGACCACTGAGCATCAAAGAGCTGATAGCCAACCTCTAGGAGTTATGAATGTCCAATATTTATATCTTATGACCTGCTTGCATGGTTAATAAATTTTTGAAGTTAAAGTATAATTAAAGCCTTCGGTGTTTTTGCATATATCTACTGCTAGCATGCAGTAGATATATGCAAAAAGTTTTTTTTTTTAAACGCTTTTAAAGCGGTTTAAACCTACCTGTGTCTTCCCTGCGTGCTCCCGTCTGAAAATATGAAAATTCTCGGGCGGCCACAAAGCATCTTGGGGCGGGCACATGCGCAGTTCACATTTTCGGCCGGGACGCGAGGAGAAACACAAGGTAAGTCTATGGACGCATGCACCCGCATGCAGACACCATGGGAAAGGAAGTGCCAGCAAGGACAGAGGAGTCAGCGCTGGATCGGGGACCCACCGCAGCGCTGGAGAGACAGATGAAAAGGACAGGAAATAAAAGGAAGATTGGATTAAGAGACATCCTTTAAGGTAAGTGCTTTAATTAACATTGGGGGGAGGGAAAACATTTTTTGACTATAATGTCACTTTAAGTAAAGGGAATCTGTCACAAAGAAAAAAAGTTGTATTGGGACAAGGGGAAAGGAGGCGAGTGGAGGGGTTGGTAAACAAAAGAAACTCCCTTCATCCATTCACGAAATGCTTTGTATTCTGTGAAACACAATACAAGGCTTTTTGTGAATGGACAAGGGTGGGGTGGGGGGCAGCTACACAACATGATCCCTGCACTGTATATTCAAATTCATACTGTTCCAAAAGCAATTCAGAGTGCCACAGTGACTGGTGTGTAGGTTCATATAGGAGTTGGAAAATCAAAAAAGTAAATACATAGCTCACGCTCAACTGTAGCCAGCATCATACAAAGCTCCACTCTACAAAGACTTAGGAATGTTGTGTTGAGTGAATAAGAGCTCAACAGCCTAGGCTTTCCTTTCATTTATTTCCTTTTCATATTATATTTATTCCTTTTATTATTAGACCTTGACAACTAGTCTGCACTAAGAGTGTTTACAAGACTAAACTATACATGCTTCAGAAGTAAGAGAGAAGGGTCCTTCATATCACCATCCTCATTTAGCAAGAACAAAACTGAGATCGCTGTCTGTACCACACAGGTCACACCTAGTATCTATGTAGGACTTTACCCAGCCAAAAATAAAAATAACAACAAGGGTGTCAGCAAGGGTATCACTGTGGCATTTGAGGTAGTATGGAATTGAACTGTCTCCAGTTTTTCAGGTGTATTTTCCCCTTTAACATACTTTATATCTTATGACCTCCTTGCATGGTTAATACATTTTTGAAGTTAAAGTATAATTAAAGCCTTCTGTGTTTTTGCATATATCTACTGCTAGCATGCAGTAGATATATGCAAAAAGTTTTTTTTTTAAACGCTTTAAAAGCGGTTTAAACCTACCTGTGTCTTCCCTGCGTGCTCCCGTCTGAAAATATGAACATTCTCGGGCGGCCGCAAAGCATCTTGGGGCGGGCACATGCGCAGTTCACATTTCCGGCCGGGACGCAAGGAGAAACACAAGGCAGGTCTATGGACGCATGCACCCGCATGCAGACACCGTGGGAAAGGAAGTGCCAGCAAGGACAGAGGAGTCAGCGCTGGATCGGAGACCCGCCACAGCGCTGGAGGGACAGATGAAAACGACAGGAAAGAAGAAGATCGGATTAAGAAAGATAAGGTAAGTGCTGACATTAACTTAGGGGAGGGCATTTTCTTTGACTTTAATGTCACTTTAGGCATGAAGCTTAGAGGGACCTCCAGCCAGGGCTACACATCCTTAAACAAGATAACCAATGCACAACCCAATCTAGATCCATTTCCTTTTTCAAACATTGCACTGTTCATTCTACATTCAATCCAAATGAAAGGTCCCTGTATCCAGCAGTATACCCTAAAGCTGGCAATCCATACTTCAAAATGATTTCACAGATCGATGTCATCCTCAGAGATGTGCACAAGAGTTTACCATCATGCATAGCAGGATCCAGTCTATTATTTCCTGTGCATTAGTTATGTGTCAACTCTTACTCACAGTGGGGGTTATTGAAGTCTCCCCAAGCACATAAGTGCTATATAGAGGCATACAGATCAACTACCATGCAACAAAAAGTGTGATCTCAAGTTCCTTTTTGACTTTTGGCCATGGAGACGCTAAACCCCCACAACAGTGATAAGCGACACTGTTGTCTGCAAACTTTTTGGTACACCTTTGTTAGTAAAGAACATCAAGAGTAAAATAAGAGAGTTTAAAATCAATGTAACTATAATCTTGTAGTTGTTAGTATTTTAGAAGAGCATTCAAAGCCAGCGAATAATATGCGGATTAATGTCTTCAGATCAGTTTGTTCTCATGTGGTATAACATTTTAGCATCTGCCATTGAAGTAGATAGTAATGCAGTTCACCCAGCTTACAGATGAAGTAATTCTTCTGGTGTTTCATTTGTCTATGGTACAGCTTCTCTTTAGAATTTGTCTTCCTCTATCACCTCAACCTCCCCAGAACATCTGTATCTATACTGTGATTTTCAAGCCTGCATATCCGCAGAGAGAGAGGGGTTCACTGCTCACTGCTTTACACTTTAAGTCATCATATTTGCTTTAGCAGAGGCTGTAATGAAAAGTGCATTATATTGTCACAAAGCGGGCTGTCTAAGCTGTTAACCCTGCTTGAAAAGAACATAAATCCAAGATGGTTATCGTAGCAAGCACCAATCCATTTCTTACGTAAATGTCTAAAAAAGTTATATTAACTGCATTTTCCTTAAATCTGTCTTAATATCTTATCAACACTGTGCTGACGACCCCAAGAAATAAAATGAGTGAAAAACAAATAGCAAGATATTTCAAGCAATGTACATAAATATGAATGTTTTCACTTTATTTTAATTAAAATCCTGTATGCTATCCTGCAAGATAAAGCACAGTACTTGATGTCCTCAAACGCATATACTAAACCATGACTTCTCATCTTTCCTGCATTGTGAATTGCTGCTGTCATAATTGTGGCATAAAGCAGATTAATATCCTTTTTTGAATAGATCAGATTATTCATTGGTTTCTGATTTACTGCATGACTCTTCTGCATGGCAGCGGTATAGGATTATGCAGAAGCAGGCCGTTGTGATTGTGTCAACAGTTGTCTAATATCTATTGGCTCTATTCAATTAGCCCTAATGTGTACATGAAAAAGTTTATAAAAAGTATGTTAAAGGGGAAAATACACCTGAAAAACTCAAATAGTTTTCAGAGTAAAAACATGACATTTACTGGAGACAGTTCAATTCCATACTACCTCAAATGCCACAGTGATACCCTTGCTGACACCCTTGTTGTTATTTTTATTTTTTGCTGGGTAAAGTCCTACATAGATACTAGGCGTGACCTGTGTGGTACAGACAGCGATCTCAGTCTTCTAGGACAAAATAGCTGATGTGGAAAGATTCTCCAATCCAGCTCACTTTCCAGATCAGCTATGTTGTCCTAGATTGTTCTCTTCTCCTGCCTTCTCCAAACTCTTCACCCTTTTGTGAATAGCTCTGTATGTTTTAAGGCTGAACTTGAGTAAAATGTATTTTTTGGGGAACAGAGCCCTCCATAATTAGTATCTAATGCTTGAATGGCTACCGGTTACTGCACACATTCTATTCTTATTGATGCTGGATATTACTTACAGAACTCTTCTTCTGATGCTGTGACTGACAGTTCCAGTTCTTACAAAGTGCAGGGATCATGTTGTGTAGCTGACCCCCCCACCCTTGTCCATTCACAAAAAGCCTTGTATTGTGTTTCACAGAATACAAAGCATTTTGTGAATGGATGAAGGGAGTTGCTTTTTTTTTACCAACCCCTCCACTCGCCTCCTTTCCCCTTGTCCCAATACAACTTTTTTCTTTGTGACAGATTCCCTTTACTTAAAGTGACATTAAAGTCAAAAAATGTTTTCCCTCCCTCCAATGTTAATTAAAGCACTTACCTTAAAGGATGTCTCTTAATCCGATCTTCCTTTTCTTTCCTGTCCTTTTCATCTGTCTCTCCAGCGCTGCGGCGGGTCCCCGATCCAGCGCTGACTCCTCTGTCCTTGCTGGCACTTCATGTCCCGCGATGTCTGCATGCGGGTGCACGCGTCCATAGACTTACCTTGCGTCTCTCCTCGTCTCCCGGCTGAAATTCCGAATTCCGCATGCACCCGCCCCAAGATGCTTTGCGGCCGCCCGAGCAGTTTTGTATTTTCGGACGGGAGCGCATGGTGAAGACAGGGGTAAGTTAAAACGCTTTTAAAGCGTTTTTTTTTGTTTTTTGTTTACTTTTTGCATATATGTACTGCTTGCCAGCAGTAGATATATGCACAAAAACGGTGGGTTTAGAACCCTTTTAACACTCCCTTTTACTTAACAAATAATACAGCTAAAATAAACAGCAGTTTATTTAGAAAAAATGCAGCAAAAAACATAGGATGCCCACCAGCAATAATGTTTGGAATGGGAAACAATTGTATGTCTGTAGGCTACACCTGACCTGTCCAGACTCCCCTTTGGGAAACAATTGATTAGTCAGGTGGGATGGATATGTGTGGCTGATCACTCTTTTTTCACAAAGGCCTTGGAGGTGTTTGCACAGAGCATAAACACGCATTCTTGGCCAATATGACCATACCTGTCTGTGAAACGATCTTTCTTTACTTTTACTAACTATACACTGGTAACCACCATCTTATCAATTTTAATACCTCAGATACAAATCTGTTAAAAAAATACGATGTAAATAGACCTTTTTTTTTTAGAATTAGACAATCATGACCATGAGGATGCACATTGCTCATAGACGTAAGATGTACAAGTATATCATGCACTAAATTTAGTTAGTGTGGGTATGGCATCTTCATGATAGCAACTGGGATAGGAGGCCCATCTTTTTACCTTATTAAAACAGGACCATATATTAGTATTTAATAATCATTTATTTAATATATATACTTTTTTCTCTGCCATATGAAAGATAAATTTACAATCTGGAAGAGTAAAATCTAATTAAAGAATGTTATATAAAAGTGGAAAAAAGCAAGGGTATACTTGTTGTCTACAACAACTGATAGAGTTTCCCCCTACATTTTCAAACAGAAAATGATAGCCGATACCCGGTTGCCTTGTACCACTTTACTTTCAAAGCCTTTATTCTGTCAAATGGCAGGAAAGGGGAACTTTTGACATTTGTTCACCAATTCTTTGTATTGTGTTTTTAGGAATACAATCTTTGAAGATCTCCAGCGCCATCTGAATTCAAGTAGTCTCCTTAACAGAGTTATTTTTGACTTGGACAACCCAAGGTATGTTTTTTTTTTAACAGGTGTAATTTTTTTAAAAAAAGACACATGACATATCATGACATATCATAAACAACACATCAAAATAAATTCACATACAATCTCACAAAACAATATCAGTACGGAATAATAATACATACCACAACATTAGGACAAAAATCAAACAAATCTACAAACATTGTAAGACATAAGACCAAAGCACATTCAGCCGTGGATCTACCGCACCATGTGCAGGCACCTCCAATGAACTCACTATGAGGCCGGATCGCAGAATGTGCACTGCACGGGGGATGAGAGAGGGACAGAAGGGGGGGAGAGAAAGCTGATGCGTCCCGACGCATTTCGCTGATGGCTTCTTTACCTCCCCCCTTTACCCAACAGGGGGATAAAACAGGATCACTTTATCCTATCTGCCAATAACCAGCTAAGCTTGCAGGGAGTCTCCCTGGCTACCTCTCTCCGCATCGCCTCAAGGTCCCAGGTGTGATGAGGGACCTATTTGGGAGGGTTGGAATCACGCGGCCCTCATCATCCCGGTCCTCCAAACGTCGAGCCTATACCATACAGTGAATGTGCATGGTGAGTGTCAGGTGATCATGCCCCTCTTGACCGTTCATCTATATTGAAAAGGAAAAAAAGTTTTAAAATAGCCACCATTGTGAATCTTGTGTTGTTTTACTGCGCATGATGATGTTAATGTATCTATCTTAGAAAATATGTTTATTAACTAAGAATTTACATATCTAATTATACACCACCACATCCCTAGAGGATGACTGTATGAACACAAAATACATATATATTTTTTCTTTTAGATAAAAAAATAATGGTCCCCTGAAGAAGCCATCAGCGAAACGCGTCGGGACTTACCAAGTTAGACATACTACTGGATATTGCACCAATACCAGTATCATTCAATCGAGCCATGTTAGCAAAAATATATTAAGGTTTATGAATGTACTCACTGGGCATAGGATCTTTTCCAAGTATTGCATGAATCATGTATTGTAATGAATTTTTATCTATTTATGTTTGTTTAAATACATTTTGACATTTTTTAATATATCTTTAATTGTTTATGCATTATACCCCTCCGCAAACCCTACTCTTTTCCTCCTATTTTCTCACTCTACATAATATAGGGGGAGGGGTGCAGTTAGGGTGTCTATAGTGAGGCAATCCACGGCTTGTTTTTTGAACCAGAATCCAAAGGATGTGACTGACAGGTGAAGAGCAAGGCTATAAAATAAAGCTTGCAGCTTAAGTGTTATGTAGTGTTCCATGGAAATAGGATTTTATAGATAGCGAGAATGATTTCTACAAATGTAGAAGTAATGTAAGGAATTGAGGCAAGTCTGGACATTAAATAAAATAGAACAAAGGACTTTTCAATCGTTGTAGTAATGACAGTCAAAAGCTAATATGAAAACACTTTCTAAAATTAGAGTCTTTCAAGGCTCACACAGCTATCCTTGATTCACCTTAAGATTTGCTTTTATGTTTCCAGCATTGCAGAAGGTTGTGAAGAGATGAACTGTTTGAAGTTCTTTTCCAAATTTGAATCTGGGAATCTCAGAAAAGTTATACAAGTGCGTGAGTAAGTAACTGACCAAAGTTTTTGTAGGTGGTGGATGTTATCATTAAAAGATCAAACGCAATTTTTTTTTTTCGGTGCTGGGAGCCTGACTCTCTTTACATTCACATGCTTAAAAAGATAAAAATGTTGGAACATGGAACCCATGCCCTTAAGTCTATTACTAACACTTAACCTGACCATACAATTAACCCACTTAAAGCAGTATAAAAGTCTCAAGCTTGTTTTCAATATTAAATCCAGATCAAACAAATGCAGATTGCCATGCAAACTTGTAGATTTTTGACCAAATAATTACAGTCAATATGTTTCTGAACAGCTGGTCCCAAATCTCTCTCCTGTCCAGTACAAGATCACAAGAGACAGCACAGTCTGCTTTGAGAAGGGAGAGGGGGGAAGAAGGGAGTGGATTGCCTTGCTGTGCTTTTATGTTTGTGGAGACACACACAGCTTACTAGTACACACAAAGGGGACTCCATAGGTCCCTGCATGGGCAAGGTGCCACCCTAAAACAGGATATCTGGGCCAGTGCTCAGGGGTCCGGCTGATAGTGATGGTCCAAACACCCCCCCCTCGCTTCGAATTCGAACTTTAGAACATGGAAAAAGTTTGAATTCGAACTCGAACTCAATGCAAGTCTATGGGGCTAGAAATTTGAAAATCAATTGATTCCATTTTGAAGACTTATATGCAATTTATTGACCATAAAAAGTATATGGGGATTCGGGTACTACCCTGGGGGACATGTATCAATGAAAAAAACACTTTAAAAAAATACGGTTTTTAAAGGAGTAGTGGGGTTAAAGGAGTAGTGGCGTAAGGAGTAGCGGCGTTAACATCACTTAAAGTGAAACAATAAAAATGAAAAATTCCTTTAAATATCGTCCCTGGGGTGTCCCCTTAAACTGCCTGTAAAGTGGTGCATCTCAACAATGTATAGAACCTGCTGCAGCAAAACTGACATTTGTAAACAATAAAATTTGATTTAAAAAGTGTGCAGGTTGCCCCTCCCAGACAATACCAGACCCTTAAGGTCTGGTAGGAATTTTAAGGACGAACCCCACACCAAAAAAGTGGGGGAACAAAATATGGGGTCCCCCCTAGAATTCCATACCAGACCCTTGATCCAAGCACAGGCCTGGCAGGGCAGGAAAGGAGGGGGGATGAGCGAACACTCCCCCACCCTGTGATACCAGGCCACGTGACCTCGGCACTGGGAGGGTTCTTTTCCAGCGTCTCCCCTGTAAAAGCACCTTGTCCCCATGCCGATGGGGACAAGGGCCTCTTCCCCACAAGCCCTGAGGTGTTGGTTGTGGGGGTGCGTGCAGGGGGCTTATTTAATAAAGGGGCACCCAGGTGTGCCCCCCTTGTGAATGAGTAAGGGGTACTTGTACCCCTACCCATTCACTAAAGGGTTCAATCCAATTGTAAATTAAAAGACCAGACTTTTGAAAAAATCCTTTAATTGAAAAAAAAAGTTTTAAAAGACATGTTTTTGACAAGTCTTTTATTTTTTTTTTTTAAATGGATCCCCCGACGTAATCCAACATCAATCACGACGTCCAGCGTTGTCCACGACAATGACAACTTGATGAAATAAAAAATAAAATAAATAGAAATAATAATGAAAAATAAAAACTGATGACTGCCATCCCGTCCACTCGTGACAAACTCCAGCCGCAGAATGGCATTTTGACAGATGCCGGCAACATATAAACAATTGGGCAGAGCTAGCAGTGACAGCTAGCTCCGCCCAACTGTTTACAGTTGTACGGCATCTGACAAGTGAGTACTGTGCCCTGATTGGGTAAAGTCTTGCACCTGGCCTGTGGTGAGGTGCAAGGCTTTTAGCCAATAAGTGCTTCACAAGGTGCAGTGCCTTGTGGGGCGCTCGGTGGGCGAACAGCCCGCCAAACACCCTGACAGTTTGTGTGTTCACCGTACACATGAACTGCCTGTGTTTGAGTCGACCTCGACTTGTACATCGAGCCCATCCGTGCCGGTTGAATCAAGGATGAGCATCCATTGTAAGGTATTTTAATCAGCATTTGAAATAGCTTAAAAACATTTTGACTTCAATATCCCTTTGACCCAATCTTTCCCCTAATCTTAACCCCAACAGTAATGTCACTTTTAAATTTCCCTAAAAAGAATGAAATAAGCCCATGCCCAATACCTATAGTCCTTGTGTCAAAGTTCTTACCACATAAGTATTCGGGTGCCAGTACATAGATTTGCATCATTTTTGGATAAACACAGTATGCCATGTTCTAACAAATGTGAATGTAAACAAAAACATCTCAAAAATCTCTAAAATCTCTAAAAAACTGAATACATGTTGCATTTGCTTTTGTACTTCTTTTTATTTTTAGATCTATGATTGGATTGTCATGTTTAAGTGTATACAGTATTTCATTTTTACTGTACAAATATAACCTCTAGGATTTACATCCAGTAAAAGAGTCAGGCTTGAAAATACTTGCAAATTTGTCCTATTTGTTCTTGCCTATCTTAAAAACTGGCTTTATTTTGATCTCTTCATATACCTACTTTGTTCTCTATCTAGATGTCAATCACCCGTTGCAATAAAACTTCAACAACACCAAATTGTAAAATGAAAAATCTCATTATAATAAATGTAGTCTCACCACATTTATTTATATTTTAGGTTTGAATATGACCTAATTGTGAATGCAGATATCAACAGTGATCAACATCATCAATGGTTCTACTTTGAAGTCAGTGCAATGAAAGCTAATGTCCCATACCGCTTCAATGTCATAAACTGTGAAAAATCTAACAGCCAGTTTAATTATGGTAGGTACTTATGCAAATTATTTTGCTTTATGTACATTACACTCTGATGTGTGCACTTTGCGCTTCTTTTGCACTGCCCCTTCTGCTCATTTAGAAAGTTTCTAGGTCTGTTTCGATACCCTTATTAATCCCTGCAGTTAACAGGGACAAACGGATGGTATGGAATCTTGGCTTCCAAAATCCCTTGGATAGAATCTGCAAAAATGTCAAAAGTGTGTCAGTCATTTACGAACAGAAACTAAAAACAAGCTCAGTCATGAAGGGGTTAAGAGAATGTCGTAACTTTCTGATGGATAAAATACAAAATATGCCTCTCCCTGACATTTTCCTATTTCCTTTTAGCTTGCATTGGTCTCTCATACTTTATCATGGCCCTTTTCTCTCCCTCGCTAGTTTCATCAATCCCTGATGAAATGCAAGGACTCCACTTCTGGTTGCTGCTACATTATGTGGATTATCTGCACCCCATGTCCTATCCCTAAGAAGGAAAGTCATTTATTCTGTGATTTACAGGGAATTTCTTCAGAATGTTAAACTGATCTAATCAGCTCAAGACAGATTCAAGCACCCCTGATTCTGTGTATACCTATCTTTACCTGGAATAAGCAGACTGCTATTTATCCGAAGATGATTTGTTTTTCTGTGCTAAGAACTAGTTAGATTATAGCAAACGTCTGAGAAATGATCCTGTGGAATCAAGTATTCCAATTTTTATAAATAGACTTTCATGCTAACATATTGTTTATCCTGCCTTACTGTGTAAGTGTTGACTGCAATTTCTGTAAAATAATTGAGCATACCGAAGAATTACATAAGAGGTCATATTTCTTGTTAAAACTCAAAAGAAAAACAACATGTCACTGTCCTAACTATTTGTAATGCAAAAAAATGTTCTTCATTTCATTTAATTAATTAGTCTAACAGTCAAAGTACATTTTGTGTTTACTGAAAATAGTCAGCCTGTGATCAGGTCTAATTATTATAATTAGTAGTGACTGGAGAATATGAGGAAAAAGTTACTCTCTTGAGAATTAACATTGCAACAAATAAACATTAAATATGTCAGTATTATGTATTGTCACTGAATGGCTTAGCCTGTCTAGCTGAAATTATTGTTTTCAATAAGAGTTACCAACAAGCTTTTACTTTCTTATCACACCATACTACTTGTCATAATGGGCACGTAAATGCAGCGTTTGCTGAAAATGGTATTGTGTATATATTTTTCCTGTTTTTTTGTGTGCCATAAATGTAATATTACATATTAAATATATCACAGTTTTGTTTTAAAATGGGGCAAAACATACTGGCAAACCGCTGTATACATATCCTGCAAATCTGACAAAAAAATGTAAAGTCAACTAATGTGTTCAAAATAAATAATATGACAATATGAAGGAAGTGGATACATATAGTATACTATACAGTCTCAACCTGTATTTCTATTTTAGGTAAATGCCACACTCCCCAACTCTAGCCCTTGTTGCCAGTGGGGCAAACCCAAAGGAACAACTCAAGGAGGGCACCCAGAAAAACTTACTAACACACTGCTTTGATTAAACAATTTTAATATCACATATAAACCAGAGATGGTTCTGAGTAAGAGGGTTGTGTCCAGTGAATGGATGGAGTTTAGGGTGACTTGTGTATCCACGGTCTTCAGTTATGTGAATTTAACCTTTTCTAAACAGTTCTATGGATACTAAAAAAATATGTATGTGGAGTGATAAAATGTTCATCCTTTTACATAGGTATGCAGCCTGTTATGTACTCTGTGAAGGAAGCTCTCAATGGAAAGCCTTATTGGTTGAGAACTGGCTCAGACATTTGTTATTACAAGTAGGTTGTCATTGATTATACAAATGTTTTCATTCTTTTTACCGTATGCCTTTATAATGCGTAATGCTGAGTACTTAGATCTCTACTATTTGATTGAGAGCCATACACAATTACTAATTTGTTAGGTACTTCTGCCCACCATCTGGTACTGCCGTGTGTCTTCCTGCACTCCATACTCCCTTAGCATGTCCTAGAATGTGAAGACTAGCTTTATTTATCTCCTAAGTGGACCCATGCACATGAATGGCAGGATGTGCACCCACCTTAGTATCTGCACACTTTGATTGGTGTACGCTCATTTAAAGCTAATGTAAAAGATACATTAATCAATGGAGCATTGTATTCATTAATATATAATTTAATGTAGTTTTAAAATGTAAGCAATGTAAGTAACTGACCCTGACTTGGTATCAGCTTCTTGCAATCCCATGTACAGCAGACCTCAAACTGGGAGAAAGTGAAGCAGCATAGAGAGCAAGTCAGGTGTGCTCCAGTGCTCATGTGCTAGCAAGAAACAATGTTATAGGAGGAGAGGGCAGAGTGACAGATACATGAGCTTTTACTGTGCTTTTCCTCCTTTCACTGTCCAATCACAGGCCAGGGGAGGGACAAGACCCATATAAATTATTTAAACTCTTACCCTGCCTGACAGGGCTTCACTGTCTGGCAGAGTTGCGTAAATCTTAGAACTGAATGGACAAACATACAAATCTTTTGACAGGTAAAAAAGTTCCCATATACAGTATATATACCATCTTTGTGTTTAGCTGCTTGCCTGGAGATCAGCTTTAAAAAAGGGCAATACAATACATAGCCTGCTTGACAGTTGAAGTGTTTAGTTGGCTAATGAGTTTGATTCTGTTTGCTATTTCAGGCTGATTTATTTACTGACTCTGCTGCCCTGATGTGGCTCAAACTCCAACTTCCCTGATCTTTATGTAACTACTTACCTTAATTTTGTACTGTGTTTTGGCTTCTACACTGGACTTCCATGTCCTTGGCAAAAACCTAAGATACCAAAGAACTACATTAAAATGGTCAGACTGTCCTGTTTCGGCACAATTATCTAAACTAGGCACTTCAGCCTAGCCATAAAGTCCTCTGGACACCTCATTATTCAATCATGCATTGCAGCACTTCCAGAAGTTAGATTCTGTAGATGTTGTGCACATCAGTAGATTTCATAGAGTGAGAGTTAGCAGACAACCCTTACATGTGACAAGCTTTGGTGTGCAATAATACATTAGAGACAAGAAATCAGCTTCTATTTTAGCACTTTTATATCCCTTCCTGATTGGTCACTATGCACTAATGCACACTATTTCCATTTGCAGAATGTTTCTGAATAAGCCCATAGCTTCTATTTAGAGGTGGGATGTATTTTGATTAATTAAATGTGTGCATAAGTTCAGATAACTTGAACCTTGTCTTGAGTCTCCTACAGGGACCAATGTCAAATAATTTAGCCAATATATGTCATGATTTTAGCTGAAAAAAATGTTATGAAGCACCAATACAGGGATGGTATACTCTAAATGGATAATAAAACAGAAAGCCTTTCATAAAATGTGCTAAGTCATCTATTCCCTGTAATATACATAGTGTATGAAGTGTGCAAGTTGCATCGCAGTGCATTTAGCCTCATCTCTCTTCAGTGCTAGTAATTAGTGACATATGTCATCAGATATGGCTGGTTTTAAAATGCTTACTTGACAAAATTATTTATACACATGACTAAAAGTCTCTCAATCAGGCAGCTTTCTAAAATGCTGAGACCAATTCATTTTTATAGCAAGCATAATAACGGAACCTATAAGACAGTGTGGTTAATTTTGGATGAAATGGTAAATTATGCCCACTGCTGCATGTGTTATAGAACAATTATAGCTGTATGGGTTTAGAGGAACTTGTGATAAAGATATATGTGGTATTGATTACATAGTTCGAAAGAGGTTGGCATGGCTGGGAAAAAATAAACCACAGAAGCATAGTCTAGGCAGTAATATGTGAAAGGTGAATGTACTGCAGTCTTCTGGAGCCAGTATGGCAATAATCAATTAGTTTAAGATGGGTAAGTTTCATATTGCCCTATGATTGGCATAATATATCTTATAGCTATCCCTGGATGGCATGTTGTCCAATTGAGAGATTTATTGAACGGAAACCTGTCATTAGAGAAATAGGGAGGACTCAATTGTTGATCACTTTCGGAAAATACTAGTTGTCTGGCATTTTTCAGTGAAGGACCTGGAAAAAGTGTGCAAGTAAGTGTTAAGTAAAAATGCCCTTTTTGCAGACATGTTGTCAGTCAGTAAATGATGCAGGAATTAATAAAACCCTTGCATTAGCATGAAAGCCAGGCATTTTCAGAGATAGAGGGCAGCACATTATCTTATAACTGGTTTCTTCAACTTTATTTAAAAAAAAATAACTGCAGTGTTTGTGGGATGCAGATTAGAAACTCCAACACAGCCGTAGAAGTAAATATTGAGCCATAGAGACCTCGATGTACGGCTGATTTCAGCCGATATACGGCTGAAATCAGCCGTACCAGCCTGAAGTGAATAGTTCGGCTCACTTCACTTCTGATCGGTCATTCACTCGGCTGCCCTCGGCAGCTTTGTGAATAGACCCCCCAGTCTTGCAGCATATGCAAAATAGTGTTGTGTTTCTGCAAGTACTAAACGCTGTTTGATTATTTGTATATTTGTAAAGTATTAGGTCAGTTGAAGAATTAGGAAGGGGAGTTGCAGGGTAAAGGTAAGGGAATGATTGGGGCGGGGTGCACTGGAAGCTTTGGAATAGGGAGGTTTCAACCCCTGGAGTGAGAGCAGTGATTGCTACAGTTAGCTTTGCACGTCACTGGGCTTTGTGTATTTTATTCATGGGGACCAAAAACATTTTTTGCTTATTATGGGTAACAATGGGTCAGTTTTTTATTGATCATGATGCCATGCCTCCCAATACTGGAAATTCTTAATTCCAGTTAATCTAAAACTGGTAGGGTATCCTATTCACGGAGGGAAGACGGGGCATCTAATTATGTCTAATACTGGAAAGTGAGGTAAAAGGAGTCTCCACAGTATTTGGTTGAATCCCAAATTGTTAAGGCTTCTTTCATGGCAGGGCACAATAAACAAGGAGATCACTACTGGGTCACAGTCTATTGCGTCTATTAGGACACACAGGTTTCCTTTTTGAAATGCAGTAGGGTGAGGTATGGTACATGTGCTTCATTGTAATAATTTGCATATATGCCAATTTCTAGACCTCCTCTAAATTTACAGCTGAGTAGGTTAGGCAGTATCCATATCAATGAGGAGATTGCTGCTGGGTCACAGTTTATTACGTCCATTGGGACCCACAGAGGATTTTTCTTTTTGTAATTCAGTGGCTCTAAGCTTCTAGGAGGGCATTAAGTCTACAATTGAGAGTTAAGATGGATATCTAGGTAGGGTAGATTGTCTTTCCAACCAAAGGTAAAGTTTTGCAGTATTGAACTTTTCCCGATTCCTGTAAGGCATTCAAAGCCATGGATTTGGAGGGGTTTGCTTTAAGGCCTGAGATTGCCACAAACCTGCCCAGGGTTTACAGTAGGCAAAGGAGTGAAATATGGGGTAAAGTGATATTAAAGAGAATGTTGTCAGCAAATAGTCATTTTGTTGTCTAGACTGGCTGTCTTTATGCCCTTTCTATCTTTAGGCTGTCGCAAATGTTGAGCCAAAGGCTCAAAAGTGTTAGGACAAAAAGTAGCAATAATAATGAACATTACTAGTGTATGCTCCTACCTAATTTGAAATTGGTCATCATGTATCAACATGGCTGTCAGAACCAGATGAAAAGCCCAGAGCACGGTTTCAAAGTTTTCCTTAATTCCCATATTTTAGAGTGTATAATGCATAGATGGTTAGGAGAGCGTGTCAAAAGATTTTCTCCATATCAACTGACAGTAATAAAATTTCTGGGCAAAGTGGGTAAAATTGAGTTTTTTTGTGGATATTATTTTCTGCTTGCCTGGAAGGAATGGATGAAGTTTGGTTACAATGTTAGAGGTAGCATTTTGACCCAGTTTAGTATCCAATGTTTAAATAGGACTGGCTCCAAATGTATATCTCATTTGAATACTTAAGGGATAAAGTTACCAAATCATATTGTATGTGGTGCTTTCATTAGTGTGCATCATTTGCTAAGGTTTACCAAAAAATATATTTTTTGTTCACTAAGGGAATTTGACATAGGGGTGGGTTGAACATTCCTGTTCATGTCAACAGAGAGTGAAGGGAAGAAGAGATGGACTGCAATGCAGAGACTGCTGGTGTCACATACAGTATCTATGGCTGAACAATAGTGACTGAGGAAATTTTTTTTGCCTGCCTCCATTATTGCTCCAAACAGTGTATGGCCAGCAGATTCGAGAACCTCTCACACACATAAGATAATCTCAAGATTTGGTAGAAATATTGACAAAGAAACAGGGGGATGTAACCATGTATCCATTGTTTTGCCACAATGATGTCCATTTAATGTAAACTTTAGATTTTCATTTTAATGTTGCTTATTTAAATTACTGTACAACCTAAACAATACAACCTGTGGAACACATTGCTTTAACTAATACTAGAATTTATTTAATAACTTTTTTAACTATGTACAGGTGTGTGTTTTCTCCCATGTGAATGGCAATTTGGAAAGGCACAGTTTCCATAAGTGCAGCTAATGTGTAAAAGTTTTTATATTCGGAGTTGCTGCAAGTAACTATTAGCATCTGTTTGTCTTTTTTAGCCTTTTCCTTTTTTTATTGCTTTAGCAGCAGCACTGAATAAGTAACTCCAAGACTGCTCAAGAGATGACATAAAACTAAAATTACAGCTTTCACACTTCCTACCACAGTTCATTTTGTTCTCTGGTACAACAGAGATGATACAATTTATCAGACAACTTTCGCACAATACTCTTACAACCAAGGAGGTTAGAAAACAGCATAATTGGTGCTGTGTGAG